CTAATATTAAAAGAATATGGTGAAATGTTATGCAAAACCAACTTAAAACAGGCATTACATTTATCAAAATATATACAAAAAGACTTGGATAAGTATCTTATCTTATCTATTAGCACCTAACTCAACTTTCAAGATTTGAGGCGCCACCGGAGATTTCAATCTTTAGGAGTGGAAGCTTGGACAAAGGCTTTGTAGGCATTACAATGAGTTGACATGTCATGCAACCAAACATACTCAAGTCAAAACGACACGTCACGTTCGTGCCACCACATAAATCCACGTAACAATTTTAATAAATTTCATTAATTATTTTAGTAATTGGTGAAAAACCCAAAACACATATTTAATGGAAAGTGAACATGTACGTGAAAGGGAGTAGGAAACACACACTACTCATTTCACTATTTCAGTACTTGGCAGGATTTACCGATTCAGTTTATGCGCCTCACCTTGCACGTTGGCGGCTTGGTTGGACCATTTGCTATCTGAGTTACTAAGTTTTTTAAGTCTAGAGAGTTCACGACATTTGAAAAATACGCACGTCTTAGTTGATTATGTCAACACGTTGGACCAATCAAACTGCTCTAAATTATACAGTAATTACTATATAATATATAGTTAATTATATTAAATTCACGGTAATTTTTTTTCTTTTTAATGTAAAGGGTCTGCCTCTAAGAATAAAAGGTATTATTATTAGGAGTGAGTAAAACTAAATTAAATCAATTACTTACTCAAATTAGATGCGATTTAAGTAAGTTAATTCAGTTTAATTGTTGCATTAGATCAATTGACTTAAAATATTTAATCTAATGGATTTTTTGGTCGGTTCTCAATTTTAAAATTTTTAAACTAAGCCATCTTAAAAATCAAACTAATTTTTTATATATATTTTATATATATTAATATATAAAATATTTTTATATGTATTAAGAAGAATTGATAATAAATCTAATTCATAATATACTTAAAATATGTTAGTTTATTATATGTAAGTATACAAATCATAGTCATAATAATTTAATTTTAATTATATATATTTATTTATAAATATGTATTAATATGAAATTACTAGTTATATATTTTAAATAATATAATTTATATATTAATATTATAATATATGATAGTAAATATTCTACATATTAATATGTTTTAATTATTATACTTTAGTAATGTTTTGTAATATAAAATGTTATAAATATATGTATAATTGTATAAATATTATAAAATATTTATATATATTAAATTTATACATAAACATTACTATAACTTAAAATAAAATTTATTTATATAATTACACTTATAACTTTGTAAATCATTATCTTAGTTTTTATAACATTTTTGTTTATAATTAGTTATTATTTATACAAACTTTGATATAAAATTAAAATATTATAACATATAAGTTATATCATTAATTTCTTACATATAATAAAGTAATATAATATATATATCTAATTTATATATAATTTATATTTTTTATGATTATGGATGAAGTTTACAAATTTTAAGATTGTAATTTGTAAAAAAAATAAAAAATTTTGATCAATTGGTCCAAAATCAAATGGACCAAACCAATTTTATATTTGATTGGTTTGATCTTTTATGTTTGATTAATTTTTTAAAAATATTTGATATATGTGATCCTTAAATATGATAGACTAAATCATCCATCATTGTCCCTATTATGTGATCGATTGAAAAAGTATAAAACAAAGCCAATATCGTAAATTTTAGAGAGAATAGCAATTAATTTAATTAAAGCATAAATATAATCATATTCGATCTAAACACTTTCTGTCACTTTTTTTTATAAATAATATTTTTTTGACAAGCAAAATTATTGTAAAATCTAGAGAAGATGCTAATCACATGCTTATTTGGAGTTGATTTTAAGAAAGATCATTACCACATCATCAGAAATGAAAACCAAAAAATTAACAAAAAAAGTTTTTAAAAAATTAGCAGATGATGGCTATCAGAAGGCGATCCATTGCGTCCTGGGAAAAATTTTAAAAACCCGAATGAAAGCCCAAAACCCGAGAACGCAACCCATGAACCGACCAACAACCCGGCGCTTGACCTAAAAGGCGAAAACTTATAGAATTCCAAAGACTCGTCTCTCCGCAGATCTTTCTAGAAGCCAGAGTATATCTAGACATCTCTAGGACCACCCGACCCCCACAAGACTCGCCCAAAAATATATAAAAAAGAAAAAAAAACAACAAATCTAAAAAAAAGGGCAAATAAATAAATAAATCAAAGAATTATTAATTTTTTTTAAAAAAAAAAAGAGTAAAAAGAAGTGGAAAATTCCACACAAACCCTCCTCAATAAAAGGCCCCTAAACTCTCTTTCGCTGCTTAAGGTTGTTTCCGTATTCTCTCTCTCGCGCACCAACGAAAAAAGAAAAAAAACCCACCAACAAGAAAGAGGTGTTTTCGAAAAGAAATTTCCAGAACCTCTTCTGGCCCCTAATCTTCCCTCTCTCTCTCTCTCTCTCTTTCGTTTGTAAAAGGTACGATCGCCATCCTCCGGTCTTTGCAATTTCGTCGATTGTTTTTTGATGCTGCTTCATTTATCTGTCTGGAATTTGTAGATCTGTTTAGTTTTACCTTTAGATTTGGTGCATCGGTGGATTTTTTTTTTCGCTCGATGATTTTGCATTAACTTTTGTTTCTCTTTAGATTTAGCTGTTTTCAGTGATTTAGGTGGAAATAGTTTTCTCAATTTATTGCTGATTTTTCGCTCCTGCTACTTAAATTAACTTAAGTCTTTTTCTTTTTGTTGTAATTTTTTTTTGCACCTGTTCTTTGGATTCTACGTCTTTCTAGTGGGGAGATTTATTTGAGAAGGAAAACGAAGTCGAATTTTGTTATTTTAGGTTGATTTGAATGTGATTTCTATTAGTCATTGTTAGGATTTTGCTTTTCTAATTGATTTATTTTAATATAGTGTTATTTTTGAGTTGGAATCTGATTTTGAAAATTATTAAGATTAAGATTTGTTTCTATTAGTTTGATTTATGTGGCTCTTCTAAAAGGTTTTTGCTTTTTTTTTAAACTAAGGTGTTTGATCAACTTCACATGTGTTTGTTGTTTTTGTATGCACCTGGTAAGCGCATGCATCTGGCATTATGTCGTTGTGTGCTCTGTGTTCTAGTGTAAATGATTAACTTAACAAGAGTCTTCAAATGAAAAAAAGGGGGGAAAATGTCAATTGAATCTAGTTATGAGTTCAAGTCCATGGAAGTTACCACAGAATCTTGAGTCGCAATTTATTGCTCATAATAAATGGGAACATATTTATATCACCTTGATTGATATTAATTTGGTATTTTCTTACTTCTTAATTGTGTGATTATGTTGATGCATTGCCTAGATTTCTAATAATTTCTAGGTTGTGACTATTTGTTTCCTTCCTGCGTTAACATTTGTATATGCTCATATTGCTATTTGTTTTGCTAGGTGCAGATCAATTTTATTTTATATAAAATAAATCAGTGTAATTTCTGGTGAAGATGAGCGTTGTTGGGTTTGATTTTGGCAATGAAAGCTGCATTGTTGCTGTCGCAAGGCAGAGAGGGATTGATGTTGTGCTTAATGATGAATCAAAGCGCGAAACTCCGGCTATTGTATGCTTTGGGGAGAAGCAGAGATTCATTGGTACTGCAGGGGCAGCATCTTCTACAATGAACCCTAAAAATTCAATTTCTCAGATAAAGCGGTTGATTGGCCGTCAGTTCTCAGATCCTGAGTTGCAAAGGGATCTCAAGTCGTTACCCTTCAATGTCACTGAGGGACCTGATGGATATCCTTTGATTCATGCTCGTTATTTAGGTGAAATGAAAACCTTTACCCCAACACAAGTCTTGGGAATGGTTTTGTCAGATTTGAAAAGCATAGCTGAGAAGAATCTGAATGCAGCAGTGGTCGATTGCTGCATTGGGATTCCTGTATATTTCACTGATCTTCAAAGAAGGGCAGTTTTAGATGCTGCCACAATTGCAGGCTTGCACCCTCTTCGCTTGATTCATGAAACTACAGCAACAGCATTGGCTTATGGTATCTATAAAACTGATTTACCCGATAATGACCAATTAAATGTTGCCTTTGTTGATATTGGACATGCTAGCATGCAAGTTTGTATTGCTGGCTTCAAGAAGGGACAACTCAAGATATTGGCTCATTCGTTTGACCGCTCTTTGGGCGGTAGAGATTTTGATGAAGTTTTATTTCAGCATTTTGCTGCAAAATTTAAAGAGGATTATAAGATTGATGTTTTCCAGAACGCAAGGGCTTGTATAAGGCTTCGGGCTGCTTGTGAGAAGTTAAAGAAGGTTCTTAGTGCCAATCCTGAGGCACCTTTGAATATTGAGTGCTTAATGGATGAGAAGGATGTTAGGGGTTTCATTAAGAGAGAGGAGTTTGAGCAGATCAGTGCTCCAATTTTGCAACGTGTGAAGAGGCCACTAGAGAAGGCTCTTGCCGATGCTGGACTTGCAGTTGAGAATGTTCACATGGTTGAGGTTGTTGGTTCAGCTTCACGTGTTCCGGCTATGTTGAAAATCCTCACGGAGTTCTTGGGTAAAGAGCCTAGGCGCACAATGAATGCTAGTGAATGTGTTGCAAGGGGTTGTGCTTTGCAATGTGCAATTCTCAGTCCCACATTCAAAGTTCGGGAGTTTCAGGTAGTTGTCCACCAAGTTGTTATCTTGATCTCGCTCTTTCTGTGGAGTGTATCTCCGCTATGCATTTATCATTCATTTTTTGGAGGCTTTCTTGTGTTACTCAAGTTGTCAATTTTTTTGAAAAGGTGCATTGTAGTATGATTTCTAGTTTGGTACTTTTCTTTATGATCTTGAAGATGGGAATGATGCTAGGTTTCTTCCTCCATACCTTATTTTATCTGTTGTTGCTGCAGCATGTCTATTCACTTTTGTGTACTTTTCCTCTTTCTTTTTGTCATATTTCAAACATGGCTTATCACTTAATTCATATTTGAAGGTCAATGAGAGCTTCCCGTTACCAATTTCCCTATCATGGAAAGGATCTGCTTCAGATGCTCAGAGTGAAGGAGCAGAACAACAACAACTGGTTTTTCCAAAGGGAAATCCAATACCCAGTGTCAAGGCTGTGACATTCCACAAGACAAGTACATTCAGTGTTGATGTTCAATATTCTGATATCAGCGAGTTGCAGGTCCCTGCAAAGATTAGTGCTTACACGGTAGTTTATCAGAAACCTTAATCAAACTGATTTTCTTGTTTTCTACTTTAGGATAAGAATTACTTGTCCATTTCAAGAATTTAAAATTTCTTGGTCAACCTTCTGATGAAATAATTTGTGGCATTTGTTTAATGGTAGATTGGTCCTTTTCCAACACTACGAAGTGAACGACCAAAGTTGAAGGTCAAAGTTCGTCTGAATTTGCATGGGATTGTGTCCATTGATTCGGCAACTGTAAGCATATTTGAATTCTAGATTTTAATTATACCTGAAGGGTAATCTTTTTGTGCTCTTTCATAACTACTTTTCTGTGTTTTTAGCTCTTGGAAGAGGAAGAAGTTGAAGTCCCAGTTTCAAAAGAGCCAGTAAAAGAAGATACTAAGATGGAGACTGATGAAATACCTGGCGATGCTACTGCCTCTGGTGCCAATGAGACAGATGTTAATATGCAAGATGCCAAGGGTACAGCTGACGCTGCAGGGGTTGAAAATGGTGTTCCTGAGTCAGGGGACAAGCCTGTGCAAATGGAGACTGATACCAAAGTAAGTGTTTTTTGTCAGCATGCTATATAAATGATTGGTGGTGTATATGTGAGTGTGTGTGTCTGTGGGTTTGGGTATGGTTGTTTACATTTTTGTTTTGCCTGTCATGTAGGTTGAGGCTCCTAAGAAGAAGGTGAAGAAAACAAATGTCCCTGTGGCAGAGTTGGTTTACGGTGCAATGTTACCTGCAGATGTTCAAAAAGCTGTAGAGAAGGAGTTTGAAATGGCTTTGCAAGATAGGATTATGGAAGAAACAAAGGATAAAAAGAATGCTGTTGAAGCCTATGTCTATGACATGAGGAATAAGGTAAAATGTTGTTTACTAGTTTGCAAAATTGTTACTTGGCTGTTATGATTGTAAAACTAATTATTCTTTGTGTCTTCAGCTTAGTGATAAATACCATGATTTTGTCACTGCTCCGGAGAAGGAAGAGTTTACTGCTAAGCTTCAGGAAACAGAGGATTGGCTGTATGAAGATGGCGAGGATGAAACAAAGGGTGTCTATGTTTCCAAGCTTGAAGAGCTTAAGAAGGTATTCTAGTTGTTCATATTGTTTCTCAGGTTGACTGTATAAATTGAGTATCTGACAGTTGTCTAAATATTGCAGCAAGGGGATCCTATTGAAGAACGTTATAAAGAGTATGCTGAGAGAGGAGCTGTCATTGATCAGTTGGCTTACTGTATTAACAGTTACAGGGAGGCAGCCATGTCAAATGATCCCAAATTTGATCACATTGAACTTGCTGAAAAGCAAAAAGTAATGGCTTCTTCCCTCTTTCTCTCTCTGTACCTAACCCCCCCCCCCCCCCCAATCCCCCCCTCTTCTTCTGCTAAGATTTACTCCTTTGGTGCATTATAGGTCTTAAATGAGTGTGTGGAAGCTGAGGCATGGTTGAGAGAGAAGAAACAGCAACAGGATCAACTTCCCAAGTATGCCACTCCAGTTCTCTTGTCAGCTGATGTGAGAAAGAAGGCTGAAGCGTTAGACAGGTACACATTATTTCTCCTGCTTAAAAGTTAGTGTATCCAGCATGTAAATACTTGTTTTGTTTGTAGATTCCTGTAGCTTGAACAAAGTAATGTTCTCTTTTTTTCCTCCTAAACTATGTTATATATGTAGACATACGGTATCAGTGATATCTACGCTCGAATGTACGATACTTATGCTGATATTCAAATTTTGTGTTAAATAGGTTTTGCAGGCCAATAATGACGAAACCTAAACCGGCTAAACCAGCCACACCTGAAACACCAGCAACCCCACCTCCTCAAGGAAGTGAGGCTCACCCGCAGGGTGCAGATGCCAATGCCAACCCGAATGCAAGCCCTAACCGCAATGCAGACTCTAGTGAAAATGCGCCGGCAGACAGTGGTGAGGCACCTCCAGCTTCTACAGAACCAATGGAAACGGACAAATCGGAGAGTACTTCGGCTACTTCATAAATTATTCGCGGGTGGTCTGTTGATGATTTATGTGGCCAAAATTTCGTTCTTTATGTGTAAGCACTATTTTTGAAAGAGCCTGAGACCAACTCTTTGGTAGTCTGATATGAGGGGCTGGGGTCACTGTTTTCAATTTGTAAAGCATTGTCTTTGTTATGCCTACCCAGATTTGTTATTGTTAAGAGTGAGTCTTTAGAATCCAGGTATTTTTCACGGAGGGTTTTTAAGAGAAAAGACTGCTATTGTGCTTCCTTGTCAACATTTTTCTGTTGGAGGGTGGCTAAAATTTACTCTTTAAAGGATTTCAAGTGTTAAATCTTGTTTTATGTTTTGTAGGATTTGTCTGGGGATTAGTAACCACTTCAATTCTGGGTATTGTTGGTGTCCACAAATCTTGGATTTTGTTTCAATTGAAGTCTTACATTATTTTTCCATGTCCTTTGTCTACCTCTAGGTAGGAGTTTCGAAATGTTTTCTTCAGAACTCGCATGCTTGTCTATTTCTGCTCATTTCCTTTCCCCCTTGGTCAAGGGTCGCTGTCTTGTCACTTAATTGTTTTATGTGACTTTATGTACATGTGCATATCGTTGGACAAGCTTGTCGAAGGAATGCGATACTCCCTGCTGCTTGGAATGTTAGCTTCTAAGTATCATGTCAGTTTTTAGTTATTTAGACGTTCTAGTTTACACACCGAAAGGCGGAGAGAATTATGGTGGGAGTTGGATTTGGGCCATCTTTTTAAATCCTGTGCAAGAATCAGGAAGTGACCAGAGGAGCCCGAGTCAAGCGCATATCTAACCCAAAACAATTAAAAAAAAAAAAAGATCCAAATCAACTAAGAAAAAGGAGTCGAGTAGCAATCAACGAAGGAAAGGCATTTCAGTTTGCCATATGAACTATTATCAGACAAGGTATACAAACGGAGAAATTGCAGATGATAAGCCAGTGATTGTTTCCTTTTCAGAATAAGTCTTTCAAAGTGGTGCAAGTACAGGAAAGAGGTTCGCCATCATGTAATTTACATTAGTTTCGTTTTTTTTTCCTCAAAGAACCATGTCATTGTCACCAAGTTTTCAAGAGTCTAAGTGAGGTGGAAGAGTTCTCCGGTCCCTCCCCTGCAAGGGCATGTGTGTTTTCTAATTTTCTTTTTTCTTCCAAGAGAAAAAGGGTGAAAATTTATCCAAAAGATGGACCATATGATAAATTTTCTCGTTGCTGAGTGGCGCAAGTCCCTAAGCTCCATGCCCATGATGCCGTCCGAGAATCCAAGGAAGTTCTCTACGTCGGATGTGGTGGTCGGCTGACCGCCATGGGGCGATGCCGTTAGCCATCCAGCCCTCGTAGAGAATGGTACTCAACTCAGCACTGGGGGTGTAGATGGCGACCGTGTGAATGAATATGAAGAGTAAAGTCATGAAAGATATTCGAGTTGATAATTTATTATAGGTAATGGTTTTGTATTAGATAATTTTATTTTATGAAAGTTAATTTTATTATTTTAATTTTTTGTTAAGTTGGATATTAATATGATAATTATATAAAAAGATATAATTAATTGAGTAAAGAAACAAATGTTATGTTTTTTATATTGAAATTAGTTATATATTTTATAATTATAGATAAAATTTATAAATTTTAATATTGTAATTTATAAAAAAAATGATAACAATTTTATTGATTTTTTAAAATATTTAATCATTCATTGTGCACCTCTAGCCGCAGCGAAGTGGTCGCAAGGCCTACCAAAGTGCGGGCGTTTGTCCACAGGGCTTCATGGCGTTGGGATGAGTAACCCCTTCAAACGCAGTTAAAAACACAGGACACATGAGGTGATAATATTAACGGAGCAAAAAAGCGGGGCACGGGAGCTGGCAGGGATTTCTATTCTTTTCGTTTTCAACTAGACCTGTTAAAATGGGTCTGATTCATTAAATCAGTTTATTTTTTTTTAAATATGAGGTGAATTTAGTTAAAAAATTTAGGTTTATATTAAAATCGGATTTAAATGAGTCAGTTTATCAAATTAGTGGACTGAGGTGAGCTGGGGCAGGTCAGCTCTATAGATAAAAAAAAATTATTTAATTTAATAATTTTATATATTTAATTATGTAAAATTAATAATTTAGTTATTAATAGTATTATTTATTTTATATATTTTAATATCTTTAATTTTTATTTTTAAAATTAAAAATTTTATTTAGATTAAAACTTATTATTTTTTTATAGTAATGAATATTAAATGATAAATTGATAATGATTCAGAACTTGAGACATTATTGGTGTCTAAACAAGATTTAAATGTTTTACTTGATAATGAGGATCGAGAAAGATATAAATGAATCTTGAAATTTTTATTATTTGATTATATATTTATGTTTATGAGATAGTAATTTGTGTTAAAGATTTAAACTTTATTAGGTAATTTATTTATTTTTTTATATTTAGTGTAATTTGTTTATTTGTAATATTTTTTATTATTTAATTTATAAATTAAATTATAAAATAATTTTATTAATAAAAAATTTATTAAATAAAATTATAAAAATAAATTTTTTTTAAAAAATAAAAATAATTTTTTTTTAAAAAATAAAAATAAATTTTTTTAAAAAAATAAAAATAAACTAGTTCAACTCAGTTTATGAACTAACAAGAGATAAGTTGAATTGAAGTTTGATGATTTATATAAAAATGAACTGGACCGGCTCAATTCATATTTCTTTAACCCACAAGAGATTGGGCCGGACTGAACCGGGTCAGCTCATATTGGCAGCTCTATTTTCAACCCGTGCGTTTAGCCTTTTTCAAAGTGAATACGCTCTTCTTGTTCCTCTTTCGGCGGCAACTTTTCTTTCTCGTCTCTTCAAGGTCTCTCCTTGACCTTCCTCCATTTCTTTTTAAACGTAGTTTAAATTTTAATTGCAACAATTTTGCGGTGAACAATTAAAAGTGGGTTTACCAATCAATTCTTTTTTTTTTGTTATTTTCTTCGTTTATCTGTAGCATATCACTTCTTTTACGGAAGTTCAATTGTATCCGAAGTTGGTGTTTATGATTTTTTTTTAATTTTATTTATTTTTGCCGTAGCCATTATCTGCGGTTAATTGCTATTGCTGGGTTTTTCCTTTTTCCCTTCTTCTTTCCCATTTTTTTCTTGTTTTCTGCATTTCGGAGAAAATGGTATTTAAGTTTGAGAAGAATGTTCATTCCATATGTCATGTTTTTTTGTTTGTCGAATTGCCATTATGAGTTTAATCTTATTGCTTATTGAATGCATTGGTGTTCATATGCTCAAGCCATTTTATCCTCCCTGCTTTAGTTACTTCACCTTATGCGATCTGATACGCAAAGTGGCTTGTAACTAATGAAAACCATCATGCCATCATCTGCTTTGAGGCGATCCATATCAACTTTGTCTCACCTCTGCGAGCCAATCAAGCAAACAGGTGAGCTTCCCAAAATGCTTGTCAGCTGATTAATCCGTTTTCTTTCTATTAAATTGGCATTCTTTGGTAGGTATGAATTAAGATGGTTTCATATAATAACAAGCATGAAAAGGATTACTTCGATCAAGTAATTTGTTGGTTAATTTTGCATGGTTTTCCTAAACAGAGAATGAGATAGTGCAAATGTTCCAGTTGCCTAGTCCAAAGAAGGAAGCTCAGGACTTGGCTGTTAAGAGGAAGAATCCCTCTGTACGGACATTGGATGAGAGGTTTATAAGAATTTTGAAAATATTTAAGTGGGGTTCTGATGCTGAGAAGGCATTGGAAGTGCTCAAGTTGAAGGTGGACCAACGGTTGGTTCGTGAGGTTTTGATGATAGATGTAGAGATCAATGTTAAAATCCAGTTCTTCAAGTGGGCAGGGAGAAGAAGACACTTTGAACATGACTCTACCACCTACATGACTTTAATTCACTGTTTGGATGAAGCAGGACTTGTTGGTGAAATGTGGAAGACTATCCAAGAGATGCTTCGGAGTACATGTGCTATTGGTCCGGCTGAAATGTCTGAAATTGTGAGAATATTGGGCAAAGCTAAGATGGTGAACAAGGCACTCTCCATTTTTTATCAGATCAAATGTCGCAAGTGCAAGCCAACGGCAAGCACTTACAATACTATAATCTTGATGTTGATGCAAGAAGGGCACCATGAGAAAGTTCATGAGCTCTATAATGAGATGTGCAATGAGGGTAACTGTTTACCAGACACAGTGACCTACAGTGCACTTATATCCACTTTCAGTAAGTTGGGTCGTCATGATTCTGCCATTAGGTTGTTTGAAGAGATGAAGGAGAATGGATTACAGCCTACGTCAAAGATTTATACAACCCTAATTAAAATCTATTTTAAGTTAGGTGAGACGGGGAAAGCTTTCGGTCTAGTTCAGGAGATGAAAGGAAAGGGCTGTAAGCTAACTGTTTTCACTTACACCGAGTTGATAAAGGGGCTTGGAAAGGCTGGGAGGGTTCAAGACGCCTATGGTATATTCATGAATATGTTAAAGGAAGGTGGTAAGCCTGATGTTGTGCTTATTAACAATATGATTAACATCTTGGGCAAAGCAGGTCAATTGGAAGATGCTTTTAAGCTTTTCAATAAAATGAAGTCTTGGCAGTGTATACCAAATGTTGTAACATATAACACTGTAATTAAAGCTTTATTTGATTCCAAAGCCCCATGTTCTGTGGCATCTTTATGGTTTGAGAAGATGAAGGCAGATGGTCTTGTTCCCAGCTCATTTACTTATTCAATTCTTATTGATGGTTTCTGCAAGACAAACAAAGTTGAGAAAGCTTTGGTACTCCTGGAAGAGATGGATGAAAAGGGTTTTCCTCCTTGTCCGGCTGCATATTGTAGCCTGATCAACAGTCTTGGAAAGGCAAAACGATATGAAGCTGCCAATGAGTTATTTCAGGAATTGAAAGAGAATTGTGGGTGTTCAAGTGCTCGGGTGTATGCAGTGATGATAAAACATTTTGGAAAGTGCGGCCGTTTGAGTGATGCTGTAGATCTTTTCAATGAGATGAAGAAACTGGGATGCAATCCTGATGTTTATGCTTATAATGCTCTCATGTCAGGGATGGTAAGGGCTGGCATGATAAATGAAGCTCATTCCTTGCTCAGAACCATGGAAGAAAACGGTTGTGTTCCAGACTTGAATTCTCATAATATCATTCTAAATGGCTTAGCTAGGACAGGTGGCCCAAGGCGGGCAATGGCAATGTTTGTGAAGATGAAGAATTCAAATATTAAACCTGATGCAGTATCTTACAATACTATCCTTGGCTGTCTCAGCCGAGCTGGTTTGCTTGAAGAGGCTGCAAAGTTAATGAAAGAGATGAAAGCAAGAGGTTTTGAATATGATCTCATCACTTACTCATCAATACTTGAGGCAGTTGGCAAGATTGATGAAGATCGTAGTCTAACCACTTATTGATGGAGTCCTGATGTAAGGTAAGACAAAGGCATCTTTCATATTTATAGATGATTCTACCCTTGGCTAACTGCCATAGCAAGGTACACCAACTTTTCCTTTTTTGTAATATCTTCTTTTAAACTAATTATTGCTCTCTAAGTCTAGCTAAGTGACAAATATTACAAATTTGTTACTGCACTGGACAAGGAAGCTTTACTGCTATGCTTCTGGCAGTTGAATATCAGCCTCATGAAGATGGGATGATGAAATGAAGGTGCTTATGTTGCCAAGCTTGTCAGGCTTGAGAAGGGAGCTCATTTTCTTCTGAATGTTAGATCACATCTTTTGGAGACAAAGCTGTATGACTAGAAATTGCAGAGCTGAGAGGTGTCTAACTTTTGTAGCAAGGTGAGGTGATCTTTTCAGAAATCTTTACAGTACACTGAGAAATCTGCCATTTCAGCTTGCTCATCCAATTAACAGCTGTGTGGAGGGAACCATATCAAATGATCCCATATTTGATCATATCGTACTGGCTGAAAAGCAGAAAATAATGGTCTTTTTGGGTCTCTTTCTTTCAGTGTCTGTATCTTTTTGTCTCCTGGTCCCTCCTTATTGCTGGAAAATAAACCTGTTAACTCCCTGTTGATCTTAAATGGGTGTATGGAAGCTGGGGCCTGGAGGGGAGAGGAAAAATAGCAGCAGGATTGCTCCCACCATACTAACTCCAGTTCTCTTGCAAACTTATGTGAGACGGCTGAAGCACTTGATAGTGGATGCAGAAAAACATGGGATACATTTGTTAAAAAGCATATACATTATGCAGAGAATAGAACTGTAAAAGTAGGAGTAAAGGAGATAAAAGGAGAAAATTAGAAATTATTTTATTATTTGAAAGAGAGAATATTGAGGATTCAAAGTTTACAAATTTTGTTTGATTATATTTATATACCAGTTTTAACGACCTGAAATGGATACCCTTCTTTATACATTGTTAGCAGAGCTGAATGCAAGAAATGGGTCCTAATGTTTCAGGCCCTGCTTCAGCTTCTTGGCAAGTGTAACTAGTTTTGTTGGATATGAACATAAGGACACAAGTAAAGGCTGGTTAGGTAAGTAAGGGTGCCTGGTCGTTTTTGCTTGTTAAACTTGGAAGCAAAGTCTTCCCAGTTACACAATTTTGTCAAAAATTAATTCTAAGTTAGGTAAACGACTTGGAGATTCTGCATTAATTTTCGGGTGAGTCCAAGAATAACTTTACAGTCACTTTTGGTCTACACTAATAAAGGTTTATACTTGATGTATTGATTCGGTGAAAGAGAGAGTGACATCTCATTAATTTATTAATTTTAAATTTAAAAAATCTAAATATAAATTTTTTATATTTTTGTGAGAGCATGTTAGTTGATAAAAACAGAGGCTGGTTTTAACCAAGGCCAACCAATTTTCATCTTCCCCTCATGTTTTCACCATCAAAGGCATTCTGTGGCTCTCATGATTCCATGTTTACCAAAGCTTGGAAAAAACAAACACCCTCAACAAAAAACACAAGAATACTTATAAATATAAATAAAAACAGGAATTGAACATTCTTTGGTTCATTTAACAATGAGAGTGATTTATGGGTTATAGGGGAGAAAAAAACAATCAAACCCAGCAACCCAAGGAGAAAATGAGAGGAGGCTCCATGGCTGGGTTTGGTATTGAAGTCGGTGATGATACAAGGGAAAGGGATCTCTGTAACTCCTCAACAAAGCGAAAGAGAAACTATCCTTTAGATTGTAAAGCCAATCTCTGAAAGTTATGCCTATTTATTTTTAAGAGTTTCTAAATTTTCATATTTATTTATTAATGAGGTGTCAATCTCTCCATCACCAACAATGTAACAAATATAGACTCAAAACATTCAGCCCCAGACTGGATACCGTAAGAGGGAATGCACAGCTACCTATCAAGGGTTAGAGGCATATACCAAATCTTGTCAGCTACTTGCCCTCTCAATCAACACCTTTCTTTGGTGCTCTCTGTTTTTCCTTTTTACGTGTAAAACACCAGAAGGGAAGTTTACAGATATTGTTCCTTGTGTCTAGCTAACATAGGAAGAAAAAAGGGCAATTTATGCCTTCAAAGAAGTTAGATTACTGCATTATATTGCATCTCACATTAACACTTTTTAACTGAAGCAGACAATTTTATTATGTTCACGAGCACACAACAGCAAGACATTTATCCAAGCACTCACTTTCAAAAAATGGTACTATCTAATCACAAAGTCCATGCTTTCAAGCTTGATTATTGGTGACAGCAATTGATAGAGGAAAAAAGGATCACCAGTGAACTATAACATTGAAGCAGTACAAGTAATAATGAGAGTAATGATCTTCTCTAAATTCAGTAAAAATTTTCTACTTGACTGATACAGCATGTCTAGCGTCATTATTGTCGTTCACAATAGCTATTGGGAAAAGTCCCCAATATATTATACAACAACATTTAGCAGTCAACATCTACCCACCCTTACAAAGATAACTGGGTTTTGCATGCATTACTCACTAGCATTCTCAGCAGAGACATCATTCTCCTCATCATCACCCTGCTGTATTTTTGCAATTTCAGCCTGTGCTCTCTCCATGATCTGCCTCTTCTGCATTTCCAACTCCTTATGAAAATCCATTCTCATCTTCTCCAATTCCAACATCTGCTGTCTTTTACTATTCTCAATCTTTTCATATATATCGCTAAATTTCTGAATAGAATCTGCAAGCAATCTGAACGAAGAACCCTCATCAGATTGCCTCCCAAATCTTCTCTTTTTAGGTGGCAGTCCATCTGAGATATCCTCCTCACCATCAGCAGATTCTGAATTTGCTGGGCTATCCCTCATTTCATCCAAACCATTTGCACGGTTCAAATAAACCCGAGGGTTCATGAACACATACTCCCCTGAGTCCAACCCACAAGAGAGTCCACCCTGCTGTGGAGGAGTTGTCATTAACATATCCATCTTTTTGAAATAAACCCATTTGCTAGTAGTAGCACCAGTCTCTGCCAGCATAGCCTTCTCCTTCTTATACTTCTTCTTCAATGTATCCAATCGATTACGACACTGGGTGTCAGTCCTTTCAATCTTTGAAACCTCTGATACCCTCTCTGCAACATCTTGCCATTCCTCAGACCGAAGACTCTTCCTCCCACGTTGCAAAAACCGGTCACCCCATGCATCCAGCAAAACAAATGTCTCACGCTCGGTCCAATCTGTAAGAGAATTCCTCCCACCATATGAGGGCTTTGGCACTGATGTAGCTGCAACTGCTGGTGCTGGTACTCGAGGAGCAAATTCATAACTTGACACCAAACTCTTCAATTTCCTCTTTTTTGGGTGCCTCTCCATGTCAACCTCATCACTCTTTCTATTATAACCTTTCTGCTTATCACCACCTTCATCGTTATCATCCTCGTCTTCATCCAGCTCCTCCTCCTCCTCATCATCATCCATATCTTTTCCTACATACCGAACACCATTGTTTTGATTATGGTTTTCCTCTTCCTCTCCCAAATCCTCCTCATCTTCTTCCTCCTCCTCATCTTCATCATCATCAACATATTGATTCACAATTGGTCTAGCATAAGGAGCATTTCTTACAGGAAGCTTTTGGCGATTTGAAGAACCATAACCCTGCTGGTGACTAACACCATAAGGATTTGGAGGGTATCTAGCATCATCTTCAATGTCATCCATTAAAACCCAAAATTCAACTCAACAATGAGAAACTCTGAAAGTATACCTAAAAAAATCCAAGCCTATAGCTCAAAACAAGATTCAAAATGAAACAAAAACGATATTTCCCCTACACTTTACCAGCTCCAATCCCAAATTTCCTCTTCCCTTTAAACAAACTTCAAGAACAACATAACAATCAATTATTCTTTTCCAAAAAGAATCCCGCTAATTCTCATCACCACTCCACTCTTCCAAAAAAGAAAAACCCCAAAGTCCTAAACCCTTGAATCTCTTCATAAACGGAAAGAAATGCAAAATCCCTTTATTATTGAATCAAATAACAAAAACCCATAAAAAATTACTTAAAAAATCAACTTTTTCAACTCTAAATTCTCAATTCTCAACAGCCAAATTAACAGAATCAAACCCCTCCACGTTCATTGACCTAATCAAAAACCGAACCACTAAATTTCAAGCTTATTTTTCTTTTTGGCTGATTTTTTTTTTTAATTTCCAGCTCTTGATCACTGATTTACCCTATCCCATGAAATCAGATTCCAATTAACTCCATCATCCTCAAAATAACTAAAACCTAAATCTTTAATCAACTCGGAATCCATTTTCAAATAACAACATAACCCATCAAAACTTACCTGACAAAGTGCTCAACATTCTCAAACTTTTCTTCAACATCAAACCCTAAGAAACCCCTAACTCAAAAATTGACAAGTTTCATTTTTTGTTTTCTGGGAACAAACTCAAACACGGAAAGGGGGACAATTATGCGATTGCGGGAGAGAGTAAAATCTTGGAAGAGAAAAAAAAAAAAAAAACATAAAAAATAGGGGATAAAAAGAGGATTGCTGCTAATGTACGCCTTGTGCATAACCCTTTTAGATAGCAGGCCCTGAAATTTGTGAGCCCATTGGGTCAAGGGATTGTTGCTTGGGCTTCATGCTTGTTTATCGAGCGATGACAAATTTAAAGCAATTTCAAGTTTTAAAACCAAGGGGATGAGGATTTAACATGCTGAGATTGTGCGAGCTAGCTACCTCCGCCATAGATAGCTGCTTCGTTGCCCGCACCAAGGCCAAGACTGGTGCCCTGCCTACCCAAGCCGACCGTGTCGACGCCGTGCGTACTAGGTGCCATTTTATGTCCATTAAATTCTACATAATTATAATTAAATAATTTTATTATTTATATTTATAAAAATATGTTGCATATAACAAGTAATCGCATCCCTTATTTTTTAGGTTATCTAACTCATGCTCGATTATTTCGTAGACTACCTCAACTTTATATACACAATTAAATTTTAAAATTATTATTCAAAATATTCAAATATTTCAAACATTATCTGTAAAATATTCAAATTCATTAAATATTTAATTGAAATAATGAAATATTAAATTTATAAATATTATTAAATTAAAAAATTAAAAAATTCATCAAAAAAATGAATTAAAGTTTAAAACCATATTTGTAATAATTAATGAAGTATAGTAAGTATTACACTAATCATAATAAATTTATAAACAAAAAAATAATACATAAATTAAAATTTAATATTAAAAATTATCATTTGTAATAGGATTAAGGAAGTGAGTATCCTAAACTCACTGTCTAAACACATTACAAATAGTAATTTTATTATCAAAATAATATCTTAATTTTTATCAATCGAATTGAATAATATTTAAATATTCAATCATATCACTACATACATTTAATTTTGTTCATAAATTTACCCTCAACGCGTAAGATAATTGAAAAACATCTACACTTGTTTGACTAAGAGTTATTTTATTACTTAGCATTTGCATTTCAAGTTTAACATTGTTTTTAAATTCTCTTATGAAATGCTTAAAAAATATTCATTCTTTTCCGTTTAATAATTTTTTTAATGAAAAAAGAGAGTAAAAGTTAAGAAAATCCTATTGCCCAATAGTTAAAAAGGACAAGCAATGATGCAATTCCGCGTGTCCCAATGTACTTACGATCTCGTGCGCCACAAACAAACAAACAAAGGAATTCTGGCGCTTCAATACATGCACGACACGTGTGGTAGGCCTCACTTTCAGGAGCAGTGAACCAAGTCGTTTTTAGCCGCAAGATTATACGACTTTTCTCAGAGAATCTTGATCTCTGAGCCGTTGGATTGCACGAGGTTTGCACGGCAGAAGGGAACAGGTGTGGGGCCATCTGTATTTATTTATATTTAAATTATTAGTTTTTTCAGTTAATTAGATTTTCGTATTTTTATAAAAAAATAAAAGAAAAGGCTGACTCAAGCTAAACGACAAAACGGAACTGTAAAATAAAGACGCCTGTGAGGAATCATTACTCGGAGCAAGCTCTGTTCTAGTGGGGTCCACTTTTTTGGACCCACTAAATCATGGGTTTGATGGCCAGATTTGACGCCGTTTAACTTATTGTTTGGGTCCCACTAGAAATGATGTGTCATAGTAAATTTACTACTTTACCGCATTCCGTCAAGGAGAAAAGAGTATTGTAGCAAATGAATTTATATTTTTTTGGTTATTAATAGGAAATTGACTCTGCTGTTAAGAATGACATTAATCTCAAATGTGGAATTATAGGAGAGCAAATCACTTAAAATTATTGTATTATAATTAGTCTATTATAATATTAAAATAAATGGTGGACCTTTAAATAATTCTTGTTGTGATTAGATAATTGTAAAATTATAATAAAAAGAATTGTAAGTGAAATGCTCGATAATTATAATTAGTACTAAGGTATGTATTTGTTAATTTTTTACATACTTTACTCAAATCCTATTCATTTATATGATATTCGAATTCTATAAATATTTGACTAAAATTTGAAAATGTTAGATAAACTCATGTCTTAATGCTTTAGATATAACTCGTTAAATATCTAAATTTATTAAATATTCAATTTTACTAATCATTATTGTCAAATACACCAAAAGCTTGAACACCATTGGAAGTCAAAATCTTCTACTAATCACCACTATCAACTAAGTAGTAATAAACAAAGTAAACAAATAATAGATATAAACATACCAAAAAAAGAACCTAAAGGCAAAAGGAATTCCAATTGTGAGATAACATTGAGAAAGAGATGAGAATTGTGAAAAAAATACATTCAACTTTGACAACGTATTGACGTTGATATAATAGCGATTGGTTTTACGTGAAGCAAATGTCCACTTCGATTAAAAAGAAATTTTTGATTTTAGATTTGGAATGACTTAAGGTTAAAGAATAGACGGATTAAAATTTATTTGTGGTTTAGGATGGTAGAAGAAATAATTTTATTTCATTATCAATATTTTTTGAATTCATTTGTTGATTAAGTTGATTAAAGTTTGAAGTAATTATCTTCTTATTCTAGATAAAAAAGGTAATTTTTTTGCAAAACAGTTTTGTCTAATCTAATTAGACCTAATAATAAAATGCCTTAAAATTTTACTTATTTATGCCAGTTTTAGTTATATTTGGTCCGACTATGACTTACACTAAAAAAATTGAACAAAAAATGTAGCTCATTTAATAATGGATCTCAAAAAAAATTGCTTATGGAGCCATATGATATGCTTTAATCTTATATAGTATCTGTGTCTTTCTTTTTCAAAGGTTTGTTTTTAGATGCAAAATAAAATTTTAAAAATGTTCACTAGAAGAATATATATTTTAAAATTCACCAAATAACCTACATCATTATTCTTAGGCCTTAGGAAATAACTTAAAAAAAGTTGGGATTTTTATTTATGTAAATCCTAATTTTTCCACAGAAGGGCAGCTTGGTCATCAGGTCATATAAATATAGGGCTACATCCGTACTTTCCGGACCAGAAAGAAGTCGCACCGTGTTTGGATCAACGCAAAACCATGGCTGGTTTTGGTTCGAACACCGACGGGCAAATAATACGTTTTGAAACGCTAATACAAACAGGTACTTAGTTCTTATCGGTTAACGTGGTTAAACGCAACAGAACACATTGGCGTTAACAGACGTTTGAACCCAGCAGCCTGCTTTGTCTTTTTGTGCTGACTACCCTTAGAAAGGTGAACAAGAACAATATACTCTTTCAAAAGCTTTACCTTTTATACCATGGAGTTTTTAATGTCTATCTTCGATAGACCAGTTTATGGTCTGAATACAAAGGCTTCCTTTGCCTTCGCTAATTCTTTCATGGAAAAAACTGTATTTTTTTTTATTTTTTAAATCTTATAACTCCATCTGTTAAATTATTATTTCTTAAAAAGAAGATATAAGGCCACTCAAATTATGGGGTATTTTTTAAGATATATTTATCATAAAATCCCTCCAAAAAAAATTGAAAATAAAAAAGTTGATGATCAGACGGAGTCACTTTAAAGCAAAAAAGTGGGTAAATCAAGCGGACAAGATTTGCAGTGTACAGCAAGTGTGACTCTCTTCACACAAAAGAAACTCCTTTTCTTTTTGTCTTCAACTCCAAACCAGGAATATACACCGTTTTCTACATGTACCGTATAAATATACGTATTTCTTTCTTAATCATGCGAGAGAGAGAGAGAGAGAGAGCGTGGAGTATATCAGAAGCCTCAGTGCCTTACTGTTTCTCTGATTTTGATGCATTGCAGAAGAAGCAAAAAAAAAATAAAGAACTGACTAAAAAAATATAATAAACAAAAAAAATGGCAGAAAAAATTTATATAGAGAGATAGAGAGCGTTTATGTTTTGGCTAACCCAAAGTAAAATCTCTATCTCTTCTGCATTTTGGGTTTTTCTTTTTTCCCTCTCACCCTTCAAGTTTTAACAGAAGAAACCAGGTGGGTCTTTTTTATTTTTGCTTTTTTTGTTAAAATTTTTTAGCTCTTTTATTTTTATTTTTATTTTTATCCATATACATTTTTGAGCATCTGGGATATCAAAATGGATTTTTGCTTGAAAACCAGTTTTAAGTTTGACTTCAAATGTTGTATATGCTTGTTCTTATTGATGCAAGGGTCTTTTTCTTTTTTTTTTTTTGTTAAATATTGGTGCTTTAACCATTTTTTGAGTACCCATTTGATGCCTTTGAAGTAAATCTTTTTACATCTTGTTTTGATCAAGCTTTCGTTTTGAGTTTCTTCTTCCTCTTCATCGGTTCATAATTTTTTTTTTTTATGTTTTCTCCTTTTGGATGTTCTCCCTTCTCTAGCTTGAAAGATCCTCAAATGTGTCTGATTTTTAGGAAGCTTTGAGATTTTGATTAATGATAATCTGGGGTTTGGTTAATGTTGATCATCACAATCTATGCTAGCCCCATTTTTACTCGCTTCTTGCTGGAGTTAAATGTAAATTAATGATCAGCTTTGTTGTTTCTTTGCCTTGTACGTTTATATAGTTCATTGTTGTATATCAGCTATTTAAAACGATTGCCTTTATTGCTGATTTGGATTTACCGTATCATGTTAAATGAAGGTCAGGAGGCTTTGTTTCCTTTCTTAGTTTCTTCGTGGTGCTCAAAATTATTTTTTGATGGAGAGTTTTTTAGAGCTCTATTGATATTTTCAAGTATTTTTGCTTCTCATCTTGCTTTGCTGATGTGATTCAAGGATCTGGTACTAGTTTTACTAAGCGAATCAGGCCAAACTTTTGTTTTTAAAGTGAAATTGTTATGATATTGTATCTGCTGTTGCATCGTAGTTCCCAATATGCTCAGTCTTTTGGGGCTTTTTGTGTGATTGAGTATAATATGATGATCTGGATTCATTTTCATTTGCCCCTATCTGGACATAACTGCATACGAGCTATGTTGCCACTTCTATCACAGTTGATTTTTGTCATTGGGGTTAGCTAAATCAATGATCTTTATTTTTGGTAAGGTATTGCCATTCATTGTACTTGATTCTTTTTTGCTTTGGCCATTATATTTTTTGGTTTTGGCATCAATCATATTCGTTTTGTATTGATGGTTTCTTGATTCTAATGCAGTAAGAAATTGCTGGTTTTCTTGCTAGAAGATTGAGGTTTATAGATAATGCAGTGTAAGAAAACATACATCCTAGGCAAGTCTAATGGATGGTAATGTGATGGCTGATCCTGATTCAGAATCCTATTTTCAGTCTGATTCATTGGGTTTAAGGCATATTAGCAGCTCACTTTTCAATATTCCTGGTTTCCTTGTTGGATTTAGCACTAAGGGTTCTTCAGATTCTGATACGGTTCGGAGCCCTACATCTCCTCTTGATTTGAGAGTTTTTGCAAATTTTAGCAACCCATTTAGTGTTAGGTCTCCTAGATCATCATCCCAAATTGGTTATCAAAAGAAGTGGGATTGCAGTAAGATAGGTTTGGGCATTGTGAATCTGCTTGCTGATGAAATTAAATCAGATGGTGAAGACCTTGATTCTCCAAAGAGAAAGAATATAATTTTTGGACCACAGGTGAAGACTAAGTTTCCTTACTCTTCAAGGTATTCCCATGAATTCCTTGGTAATTCTATGAAATCCAATTCTTTGCCTAGGAATTACATAATTTCACAACTTTCCAAACCCAGAAAACCCAACACCAACTCAGGGGATTCTAGTTTTGTCTTTGGAAATGAGGAAGTGCCTTTAGAACCCAAATCAGATTCCAGCCGGCTTTCCCCTTTGTTTATTGACTCCACCAAAAACTCCAATTTGAGTTCCAGAAGTTTTTGTTCAGAGAATGGAACCACCAGCCTTAATAGTTCATCTCTGCCAATTGGCAGAGCCTTGCAAGTAGATGATTCTTTGGTAAGTAAACCAAGTTCACTTCCTATACCCGTTGGCCATAGCATGGGATCTCTCTCTGCACACGAGATAGAGCTTTCTGAGGATTATACTTGTATAATTTCTCATGGTCCAAACCCCAAAACAACTCACATTTTTGGTGACTGTATTTTGGAATGTCACAACACTGAGTTGACCAATTTTGACAAAAAAGCAGAGCCAGAAACCAAAGTGCCCCAACTGGATAAGAGCCCAGAGACTTCAACCCCTTACCCCTCTGATGAGTTTTTGAGCTTCTGTTACTCTTGCCAGAAAAAACTAGAGAAGGATGAAGACATTTACATGTACAGGTTTATACAATTTAGATCCCTTTGCTGCTTTTACAGTTGCATTTTGTTTTAATAATTGAGGCTGTTTTTTCTTCTTATTCTTGCAGAGGTGAAAAGGCATTTTGCAGTTTTGATTGCCGCTCTGAGGAGATTCTCACAGAGGAAATGGAGAAAACCTGTAATAATTCCTTCAATGGTTCTCCTGAGCAGAGTGATGATGAAGATCTCTTCCTAATGGGTATGCCCATTAACATGTAATGGTCTATAGTTGATTGCTTTTTGCAGGCTTCCATGCCAAGACTGATAAAATTGCTGCAAAGTTTAGCCTGGATCATCTGTTCATAAAGAGCTGTTTATGTGAATCTGTTTGCAGCCATGGATGATCGCAGCATAAATCATGAGTCATGGATAGCAAAGCATAGAGTTTGATTTATAGTCCGGGGATAGATATAATGTACTGTTGTTGCGTTATAATTTTGATTAGATGAGTCAGTAGTGGCCAGAAGCCCCATCTCATCAGTTTTCTTTTTTATATCATTTGTTACTGTTGCTCCTTTTATGAGCGGTTGTAGAAGCCTCTTGAACTTGAAGAACTCGTTGTTGAATCTTGAATGTATGTGGCATTTACTCAATTGAATGCATTCTCTTTCAGATAATTCTTTCTAGTCGGCAGCTGTCTTTACCTATTCTTTGGCAATATATGATAACAAATGGAGATTAACCTTATTGTCTGCAGTAAGTTCTAGCTTATGATTGTCATTAGGGTTAATCTGTTTGTGATTTAGTGATGTCAGTTTCTTGCAAATTTGGATTTATATGGTTGACTGGTAATGCTAAAGAGTATTGTCAGACGGATTGCGGCCCCTTCCAACAACTATAATTTGGGTATCAATGCTCGGGCCCAGCTATGCTTTTGTTCCGTTCTTCTGTGTGGAAGATACACTGACATCTTCCATTAATCTTGCTTGAAGTTTTTGTTGATATATCTGCATAGAAGTTTGCTTTTTCCTGGTGGCTTCTTAGAGAAGCCCATTGGTTGTGTCAGAAATTTGCGCCAAGGTCTTCTTCTCATCCAAGTTCTTGTAGAGAGTTAATTTTCCTGACTTTCTGGTAGCTGCCTTCGGTTCTGTGCAGAAAGTACATGTTGCATAACAGGGCAAGTATTTTTTAACGAAATGAGCTCTCAATTGAGCATAATGGAAGCATAGTCAAAGGCACTCACTCAAATGTATACGGGCTGAAAATCATTGCAGCTTTGCGCGTATAATTGTTCTAATACTAAAACCGCTTTGCAAAATCAAGAATTAGGACCGTGAAATATGGTCGTGAGGCAAATAAATATAATTAGTTAATCATTGATTAGGAAGCACCCACTTTTCAAAAAGACCACAAGCAGTGGTCCAACAGAGTCATCTTTGTGATAAGAAGCTGTGCAGTTTGCACCCCACTCAGTGGCCTGATTGATAGACCAACAATTAAATGTGGGTTCATTTCAATCCATTCATAAATGATGAAAAAATAGAGTGTGTTTAGAAAAATGGGGAGTGAAAGTGATATCATCTGTGTACAACTTTACACTTGGATTAATATCTTTAAATGTTTAACAAATGAGATTAGACAGTTTCCTGAGTCTACAACTTTCCTCTCTTTTCCTGTGTAAAATCTTCGCAGCTTTCAGTGCACTGTGAAGCTGACCGCTGATTTTGGTGAAATTGGTACTATTGCAACCGCTTGTGCATTTTTACAGAAAAAAGTTCCTGTGACGTGGCAAACTAGCCTGCGCAGCTTGAGGATAAAAGTTGCCCTTTTTCTTACTTGGCGATTTTGCATTGGTTTAAGGCTCTTGAATCTTGACCCACCTTACCTTATATGGGCCTGTTTGTTTCCTCATGGCTCAGAATTACTAATAAACCAAAGCAGGGTTCTGTCAACCCAAAGAGTAGTAGTAGTATTATTATATCTTTAATTTGTTTCTTAAACCCTGCACCCAGCAAATATAGGCAGGCAAAGCACTTCGGCATTTGATTTATTGGATCTCCCTCTTTGAAAATAGGATTCTAACTCCCTTTTCCAAATATAAAACAAATGGATAAACAAAATTTTCATTTAAAAATTTAAAATATTTATAGTCGAATCGGAGTTTTTCGGTAATTACACCAGCTAAAAGGGGCATTCCTGTCTTTTAAAGGTTTCCACTCACAAAAACGGAACCATAGGAAGATAGAGCAAAGCAAGAGCAGGCTTCTTTTCTTTCTCAGTGTGCTTAGTCTCTCTCAGGATCAAGAAAATCAATTGAAAAATAGAAGAAAAATAAAAAAGGGGAAACAGTCAATATGGTTTTTGTCATTGGGAGCTCTTGCTATTTGCAAACTCCCATTTCCAACCCTCAAATGCTGTTTTCTTCTTCTCAATCCGTTTTCTTTAACGTCAGAAATGCGGAAACCACGAGAAGAAGGAGAAGCATCAGGTATCCAATGGCTTCACTAGCCCATGGAGACCCACACGACGACGTTTCCAGCAAAAGGAGGGCGGTTCTTCTTGTGGGTATTTCAATTCTTCCTTTCTTGCAACTCAGAGCCCAAGCTCTTGACGGCTCCACCTTAAGTAAGTCCCATTTTAAAATGTTCTTTTTTCTTTCAATATTTAATCTTCTTAATCAATTTATCGGATTTTTTTTTTGAATTGGGTTATCGCTAAATTTGTCTAGGAATTGTCAAGTCAATGATATCTTGAAGTTGTATATATAAGCAATGTTTTAGTTTGTGAAATCTTCTTTTGAATTTTTATCATTTGGTTGTTCTCACAGCTTGTAAATTGGTTGCATGAATAAATTTTCTTTTTTTTACTTTCTCGAGTATACTAGTTTTCTTTTCCTGATTTGTTCTTTTATTAAGGTTAGCTAGAATGGAATTAACCATTTTATTTAATCAAATTATTGCATTTGGTTGAATGGGTTTTCTTTATTTCTTTATTTATTTATTTTTGTCTTAGAAGTTAGAATCTTTACTAGCAAGGTTTGGAGTCTGCACTTAGTTTTTAAAGAATTACTTGTTACTGCTTTTTTTTTTTTTTTACTTTTGTTTAGAGGGTGCTTTTGCTTTTCAAGAACCATTTCTTGATTCTTGGTTTGCTAGATAGAGGCATTGTTTATTTAGATGAACATTTTGTGTTTGAATTTTATCAAATAGTTGAGTCTGGTGAAATGTTTTGAAATATATCTACTTTATAATTTTTTTAAGTTTTCTATATTTGGAGTGAACTTAATTCACATCACAGTACATTGTTAAATGGTTCTGTAGGTTTTTTTCCTGACTCGATTTTGGAGTTGATGTTAATTCAGTGATTGCCAACCCTTTATCTATTTAGGGCTGGCTTGGTGCATAGATTGGATTGAAAAGGATAAACTTCATATTTCATGCTGTATTTTTCATTCTTTTTTTGTCTTTTTAACAGAAGGATGGAAAATTAGTTGGATTAGTTATCCTATATGGATAGTATTAGATAATTATATGTGGGCTAATGTTACTAATCAATTTTCTAAAATAAGATGAGATTGTTTTTGTTATGCATGCACTAAAATAAGTTAAAATATAGAAAATTTGCTAATCAATTTGTCTTGTCCTATCCTATCCATAAGCTTTTACACCAAAAGCAACCTTTATTAATTATGGTTTTTCAGTTCATATATATGTTAGATTATCAATATCAGTTACATAATTATCAACCTTAAGTAATTTTTTTCCTACTTGCATTTAATTAAAAGCAATTGGATGCATTGAGAGTAGAGGTGGCAAAGTATGCGGTTGGCCCAGCCTGGCATGCTATAGTGTCAGCCTTGGCAGTTGACACTATAGCAGGCTTAGCTGCCCTAGTGCGGTTGAAATATAGGCCATGCCACCATGACCCAGATTTTCTGGGAATGGCCTGCACGGCTTGTGACCCACTAGCGGGGCATGTTTTAGTGGGCCAGGCTGGGCCAAGGACGACCCAACATAATTTTTTTGGCTTTAATTGCTTTTTATAGTTTTTCTTATGTTTTTTAGTGTCACAATTATGATAGAGAGTAAAAAGGAAGAAAATAAACAGGCACATGGTTTTCATGATTTGGCTTAAAATGTGTATTTCCATGGGAAAGGGGAAAAAAATATCAATATCAATAAATAAATTTTGCAAACAATAATTAAGTCAAAATGCAACAAATAACAAATAAGAATTAACATATTGATATAGCGTTGTCATTTTCTGTCGACGACTTATCTTGTCCTCTTACATCTCGTAAGCGATCTTTGACTTCCAGTCAATCTTTTAGGAAAATACACATTCAACTGTTTTTGGTGCCGTTTTACTTCATTTCTTGTTGAGACTCCTCCACCTGCACTAAAACAAGTTTTTAACAGAATGTGGACACTGAATGCATTCGTAGATCACGAGCCATGATGGGAAGCTTGGGTCTATATTTTTCATTATTTCTTCACCATGCCAAAACATCAGAATTTTTTACTTCTACTCCTGAAAAATTTAACAAGTTGGTTTAAAATACAATTGAAGTTTAGTAAAAGAAGAAACATTTAAATAGGGACCATATGTTTTTTAGGTTTACGAATTCTACTTGAACAAGGATTAGCTTTGGAGGATGTATGTATCATTGAATGGAATTTTTTTCAGACCTTGATCTTTTAGGAGAAAATTAGTATTTTCATGTTGAGATTTGGGGGTGTCATCAGTAGTAAAATTAATGAAAATGTAACTATGAGATGATCCGATCATTATGCTTTGATTAATAAACCAAACAATGCAATAAAAACAACATAAATGTAAAAAATAATTGTTAAAAAATGTACTTTGGAGAGAGAGTTTTGCAGAATTTAAGACTTCTAGCTTAGAACCTTGACAAGTTTGGGACAAAAAGGGGTTTCAAATTATTTAAGGGTGTGGCCATGTGGGGGCATGTTGTTCAGAGATTTCTCCATGTGTATTTTGGTTTCTGTAATCTAACTTTGGTAAGCCTCCTTAAGGATCCAAGTATAAAAGTGATGCGTGTGCTAGATAACTTACCACTTTTATTGTTGTCTTGGAAAAGATGGTTAGTTAGATCAATTTTCCATGATAAGAGAGAGAGAGATTGCTAAGACTTGTGAAATTGCAGGGAGAGAGAGGCAGAGAAAGAGAAAAAAGGATGGAGAAGTAGAAGAAACAATGGAGCTGCCAATGGCAGTTGCTAGTGGTAAAGCACTGGCACTGGTTGCCTTTATCTTGATTTCTTTTATTGTTCCCCTTATTATGGTTAAGAATTTTGTTTTAACTTTTATTTCTATGATACAATTGAGAGTTAATTATTTATTTAGTCCCACCCTGTTCCTAGAAAAAAAGGAGAAACTCTACCTGATACTGGTAATAGAAAAACCTTGTTAGGAGTGTTTGGTCAGTAAAAGTCCAACAGTGCATTGAAACAAATTAGTAAGAGATGGCCTGATTGAGAGTTTAGTAAAATGCTGAGTGACTTGTTTTGATATCACAAAAAATTACCTTGCATGAAGAACAAATTAGGTATGATGCCACAGCTTCTGGACTAGTTGTCTTGAGGTCTAATTTCAAGTGAGGCTCATATAACTATTGAAGTAAATGGCTAGCATTGTAGCTCTTCCCTTTGATGTTCAAAACAAAGGCTTATGTCCATGTTTCTTTTAAAGTTAATCAACTTACTATTTTCTTTAAGTTTTTTTGGCATATTATTGGGTCTCTTATGAAGGTCTTGTCTGCATTCTTCTTCTTTAAGTCCTTTTACTAGGGTTGGCCTAATGATTTTTTATCCTTCTTCGTTTTCTGTTTGCTTATGATGTTTATTCATCTTATTTCAGAAGGAAGTGAGGTAAAGAAGCCAGAGGGAAACCAAATAGCAGAAAGTGAGCTAAACAAACCAGAGGCAAACCAAATAGCAGAAAGTGAGCTAAACAAACCAGAGGCAAAGGAAAAGCCAGAGGTCTGAATCACTCTTACTTTATGATCCCATCCATTCTATTTGCTTTCATTATGTTTACTTCTTGATTTTGTGACCTTAAGTTTCAAAAAATCTCAATTGGTAGCTTGCATGGACAGGAAGCAGGGGAAGATATACCATCTAATCCCTTTCTATCTCTCCTTAATGGTCTTGGAATTTTTGGTGCTGGTGTGCTTGGTGCACTCTATGCTCTGGTTCAGAAGGAGAAAAAAGCAACTAATGAAACCATAGAATCGGTAAGTCATCACTTACCTTCAAAGTTAAATTTTGTTACGGACTCATTGTTTCATAGATGGCTTTGAGCATTCAAGAAGAATTCTATGGGTATTTTTTCATTGAAACAAATTATGAGAGAATATAAATAAGGAAATCTCTGTTCCCTCCTTCTTAATACTCAGATGCGTTTCAACAAAATTATTGTCTCTCCCACCCACTCCCCAAAACCCCTAGTCCCCTCCCTACTCCCCTACCTCCTACCAAGAAATCTTCTCTCCCACCCACTCCCCAAAACCCCTAGTCTCCTCCCTACTCCCCTACCTCCTACCAAGAAATCTTTCTTCCAAAATAGAAAGGGAAAAAGAAATAGAAGAAACGAGATCAAAGAATATTTTTGATATTTCCCCTTAATATAATGCTTGCAGTTCTAAATTATTTTATTCAACTTCCATTATTGAAATACCTGTTTTTAGGATTGGTATACAATTAATCTTGTTCTGGTTGGACATACAGATGAAGATCAAATTGCAAGAAAAGGAAGCTGCAATATTTTCAATGGAGAAAGACTTTGAATCAAAGCTGCTAAATGAACAGGAGAAACAAACCAAGCAACTCAAAGAGGCAAAGGAAGAACAGCTGTCTTTAATGGATCGACTAGATTCAGCTGACAATACAATTACAGGCTTAGGGCAGGAACTGAAAAATGAGAAGAGGTTAATTGAGAAGCTTAAAGTGCAAATTGACAGTCTTCAAAGCAACCTCACAAAGGCTGGAGAAGAGAAACGATCTCTTGAAGAAGAACTGAAGGAAAAGCTTGATTCAATTGGTGTCCTACAACAAAAAGTTAACTTGCTCAGTTCAGAACTTAATGATAAGGAAGGTAACATTCAAACGCTCAACTCTTCCCTTGTTGAAAAAGAATCAGAGTTGAAGAACTTGAACAGTACCTTCAAGCAAACAAAGGAAGAACTTGGGAAAGCACATACAGAGATTGAAGGTTTGAAGGAAGAATTACTGAGAAATCAAAGTGAACTTGAATCCATGAGTTCTGTGGTGGATGAATTAAATGCAAGGATAAGTTCTTTAATGGTTGAAAGGGATAATTCTAAGCAGGAATTTGGTGCTCTTCAGGAGGATTACAATGATCTGAAATTGTCTTCTGAAAAGAAGGCAGCAGAAGTGTCTAAGCTTTTGGGGGAAAGAGAAAAAGAAATTCACCAGCTAAAGGATAAACTCGAGCTTGCTCTAAATGATGTAAGTGAGAATGAAGCAATTTTTGCTGATTTGAACAAGGAAAAGGAACACCTAAAGAGAGCACTGGAGGTGGAATTGCACAATGTAAAGAACCTGAAAGAAGAACTTCAACTTGCTGAGGAAACCATTGCAAAGACCAGAAGTGAGGCTTCTGATGTGTCCAAGCAACTAAAACAATCAATAAAGCATTGTAAAGAGCTTGAGTCTGAGGTTTCTAGGGTTAGGGCTGAGTTTGATGAAGCTAAACTGAGACTGCAGGGTAGCCTTGATGAGGCAGAACACAGTGGCAAAGTGCTAGCCAGTGAGCTCACAACTGCAAAAGAGCTTCTGAAGAAAACTAGGGAGGAGCTGCAGATTTTTTCTCATGAGCTGACTGCTGTGAGTGAAAATCGGGATAGCCTTCAGAAGGAATTAGTTGATGTTTATAAAAAGGCAGAAACCACAGCCAGTGATTTGAAAGAAGAGAAAAAGATTGTTTCTTCTTTAAACAAAGAACTACAGGCTTTGGAGAAGCAGATTGTGAAGGACAAAGAAGCAAGAAAGTCACTCGAAACAGACCTGGAAGAGGCTACCAAGTCACTTGATGAGATGAACCGAAATATATTAAAACTTTCTGTAGATCTTGAGAGGGCCAATGCTAAAATATCCAGTCTTGAGGATGAGAAAATGGTGCTCTATAAAACACTAACAGAGCAGAAGAATGCATCAAGAGAAGCCCGGGAAAACATGGAAGATGCTCATAACCTTGTCATGACACTTGGCAAGGAAAGGGAGAGTTTGGAAAGGCGAGCCAAGAAACTTGAGGAAGAACTAGCATCTGCTAAGGGTGAAATATTACGGTTGAGGAGTCAAATAAATTCATCCAAAGTTGGTGTAAATGATCAGCCTCAACAGAAGGGTGAAACTGAAGCAAAAGTCACCGTCAGTGCAAGGAAAAGTACGAGGAGGAGAAAAAGTAGCTCACAATGAGGCTGTGAACTATCCTGAGCTCTGATATTCTTCTCCTGGATTATGATTGTTGTTATGATATCCTTCAAAGCAGCTTTCTTTAGCCGCCTTCCCTAACAAAAATTTTCACGTGCCATTCCATTGTTACTGTATAAATCTGACACCGAGGTATGGCAATTAAGGAATTTACTTTTGCATGTAAAGATCATTGGTTCACTTTTGTACTGATAAAATTCTAACACAGGTTCTCAAGAATATTTTTCTCCCCCAACAATGAAAACATCAACCTTGTGCATGTTCATTGGGAACTTAGGAGCAGTCTGGTGTACATTTCATTGCCTGGATGTCAGATACTGTTTCCTGCCTAAGAATGCGTCTCTTGGGGTAATTGAGATAATAACTTAAAGATTTAATAAAAAAAACCCATAGTTTTCCTAGATCCTGAAACAATCTAATCAGTGTTGGAGAAAAAAGATTTGATAAATTGTTGAACAAAATGAAAATAAACCATTGAATGAATTTGCCATCGACCACAGTGGGAGTCGAACCCACGACCTTTTGATCCGAAGTCAAACGCGCTGATCCACTGCGCTATGCGGTCGGGTGAGATGAGGGGCCCTAGTTGTAAAAATCACAATTATTCAAACACAGCCGTAAATAAATCCACTAACCTCCGTGTAAATTTTCATTTATTTATTTATTCTTTTAAAAATCCTCAATCCCTCGCCAAAGTTCCAGCGCAGTGGAGGCTGGAGCCTAGCAAAGGCAGAAGAACAGAAAAAACCTTTATACTAATATGAAAAGAAGTTTAATGAAATAAGAATTTGCAGATTTGTTTCAGGTTTGCGGCTCCCTAACCTCTCCCCTGTATCGATCTCGGCGGTTAGTTTCAATCTTCCTTTTGGCTTTTCTTTTGTTTATTAAATCAAAATCTGAATTTCATTTAAGTTAGCTGGACAGAGGAAATCTTTTTCTGTTTTTTTGCTTGTTTCTGTTTTTAATTTACCACAAGTAACAGATGGTTTTTATTCTCAGATTCCCTCGTTGAAAGGGCCTTTCAGATTCGGGTTTGTTTATCTCAGGACTCACTGATTCACCAGATCCGAGCCCGCCAAGTCTCATTTCTGGGTGCACTGAAAATTAAACCTCAAAGTCAATTTTAGCATTGAAATTTTCTTTTTCAAAAACTGGGTTTTCCTTAACTTCGTAAAGCTCCACCCTGGCAACCAACGTTTTGGCTTTGATCCTTTTAATTTCCTGAGAATTGGTTGTCGAAGAGAATTATTCAAAGGAATTAGTTTTTTAGGATCTGATGCTTGGGTAGAAGGAAAATTTAGTATCCTTTTGAAGAATTAGTTTGGAAATTCTTTAGATTTTTGCTGATCTGGGGGTCTTCGGAATTGGAAGAGGTATTTTAATTGTAGTCATGTTCTATGGTGCGGTGGTATGGGACCCTTGGCTTATTGTAGCTCAAATTGTTTGCCTTCAATGTTTATACTACCTTAGTCTTGGAGTCTTCTTGTCCTTTCTTGTGGGCACTCGGGTTTCTCGAATGAGTTTGGTCTATTTCTTTGACTTTGCTACTGTTACTACCTCTACTGTTACTGGCTGGTGTGTTATTGCTTCATTCCTGCTCAGCTCAATTGCAGGGTGAGATATGTAATTCCATCTTTAGTTTTTTTTAATTATGTTTCATTCTGATGCTTGACTGCGTCTGCTAGCATGAACTTTTGAATGCATTTGTGAAGAAATGGTTGGTTCGTATCTGCTGCTATACAGATGTACTAATTGTTAGTTTTGCTTGAATACGAATAATTGTTTTCACAAAAGAATGATAGCGTTAAAACTTCCTCAAATAGGGCCTAATTTATTCATTCTAAAGGCACTATGGTTCCTCTGTTACCTCACCAATGTTCCCTTGTCCGTAATACTCATCCTTGTAGCACCTTTAAGTTGGTTGTGAGTAAACTACGAAATTTCCGTTTCTCTTGTTTCATCCTTGATTCTAGGTTGTAAGACTGGCTTTGATCAATTTAGAGATTGCATGGTACCCTTCTGATGTTTGGTCTGAGTAACTTGTTTTATAAAATGTATCTGGTACTAAAACTAAGATTTAGAAAGTTTTTCAAATGAATTTTGAAATTGAAACATGAGAAGATTGAATTTGTACATGTTAGAACTAAGCTTAAAAGCTATTTACCTCCCTGTCCATGTCATACATCTGTTATTGTGCTGATTCAGTTGGTATTCTGTATGAGGGAGAATTTGTTTAGTTGGGAATTAATGGCGAGAACTAGATATTGCGTCTGTGCAGATATTGTGTATTTTTAAACTAAGTGGTATTAAGAATTTCAGAGATATTAATACTAGACATTTTCTAAACTTAGCTCATTTTAACTTGCAATTTTGTTTTATTTGGATTTATGCAGAGCTGGGTACATGCTTTATGTGATTGAAAGGGCAAAAAAGTGCTTGGATTTTTCAGCCACCCTCTATATTATTCATCTTTTTATATGCATCGTATATGGAGGTTGGCCTTCCTCAGTAACATGGTGGGTTGTGAATGGTATTGGAGTTGCAGTGATGGCTTTGCTAGGTGAATATCTATGCATTAGACGGGAACTGAGAGAGATTCCCATAACACGATACCGATCAAGTAAGAAATAATCTTATATTTGTTAGAGTGACTTCTTAAGATAATTGTAATGTGAAATTGTCTGTCCTTTTCTTTTGGGACGCTGGTGGGGTGAAATTATCAATGCTGGCTCTCCAACTTATTATTTCTTGAATTTGTGGAATTGCGATTTATTGTCCCAGCCCTTCTTAATTTTTCTGTTTGATGGTTGGTCTGCACAATAAATTGTGCATTGTGCATTGTACTTGTTGGTATTATGCTCAACTGGTGTATGAGGATTTTCCACATCAACTTCATCAATGGTTGGGGCTAATTCATGTCACTTGTCTTTTTGGATGTTGTTGGCTGTTGTCTCTTGTTCTTTTCTTTTGCTTCTTTAGTGGGCGGTTGCAGCATTAGTCTCTTGCTTGCACATCCTTTTCCTTCTATCTATACAATGTTGTTTTAGTGCAAGGATTTGGAACATTTTATGATTTTTTTTAAAAATTTCTGAAACATTGTCCTTGAATTTCAGTCATGATTTAATAGCGGTTGGGAAATTTTTTTGGTTGGATTGTATCAGTGAAACTAATGGAGGCATTTCCAGAAAGTGTTTGCCTTTTAATGCGTAACCCCCTTATCATTAAATGTAATGCCAGTTTTCATGTTAGTTAAATAAGAAAATATGAAGGTTACTGAATTTTGTAAAGTTAAAATGATAATAGTTCAAATACTTGACCCTGTTTACTTGTTGAACCAAGACCTCCCTAGTTTTCAGATTGAACTTTAATTAGCCACAGTATTTACATTTTTTTCCTTTTCAGTGTTCTTTATTATTCTTATTTTTCAATTGTCATAATATTGGCTAAATTTTTGGATCTATTTTATGCAGATGTTTGACTGACGAAGAATCAGGTTGAAAGAAATTTCTTGTGGGATTAAAATTCTTTGTTTTCCACTGCTTTGGAGGAGCTGAAAGGCTTAAATTTTTAGATGCCAAATCTAATTTTCAATGAGAAAGAACTAGCTTAAGTTATGGAATATATTTCAGTGCTTTTGGAGATTGTAGTGAAGTGCTTCTGAGATGATAGAGAGCAGCCATAAAAGTTTGGGATAGTGGTGCCTAAGTGATGTGAAGCTGGAGCACATAAGGCTAGGTATGCATTTGTATGAGGAAAATCCAAATGTACAACTATAGGTGACTTTGAGAAAGATTATACATTGCGTCTGATAGTGGTTTCTGATTTCATCTGCATAGTTAATTAGTTTTTCATTCTTTAATACAATTGTTTGGTTGTGTTTGTTTAGGTCTGCATATGATTTGGGAAATTTGGGGTTAATCTAAAATTGGGTATATACTACTATTGACTACTGAGTTATTTGCCCTAGTGTTCACGAGGTCAATAATGCAAGCTTGAGTTATCGTCTCGGGTTGTGTATGACTGGATGATTCATTTGCAACATCAGCTTGACTGTTGAATTATTGAACATTTATGCCCTGGTCCTGGAATGGGGAAACTCATCCTGATTACACTTGAGAAAAGTGTGATGAAAGGGTGCAAGAGGAGTAAGGGCAACCTTTCTCTCTACCCATTTTCCCCAGCATATTGGCACGATGAGGTGAATTAAAAGAATTAAAGTTGTAGTTATTGGCCTTTTAAGCTTTGGATAAAGTTTTCTTATTGCACAGTCATGTGGACTAATGCTTTAATGAACTGTGGCGGGGAAACTTTTGTTTGCAGTTACTAGTTGTTAGAGGCTTCAGGAAAACCTAGAACAGCGATTTCACTCGCAAGATGCACAAAGCAAATTGTTTCTTCAGCTTGAGTTGTTTCAATGGCGTGGCTGTTATGGTGAATATCATAAAATGTTGCCCATAGCGGCTACATGAAGGATTAAGAAACTTGTCAGATTAACATCCGTATGATTTGCTTTGAAGCTCTTGGATTCTTAACTGTCAAATAGTAAGTTTCCAGAACTCAAAACTTGAGATCCATGTCAAATCTCTCATGTCTAGCCAGTTGAAGATGATGACAACTTTGTGACTTGGGCTGGTAAAAACCCAAAATAAGGTGATTTATTAACATCAAAATTGATTTAATTTCTTACATCCATTTGAAATGAGCAGATAAATTTGGAACACCAGAGGAGGGGGCTTCAACTTGGTTTGGTAGACTGCATAAGTTGAAGAAGCTTAACTTTCGTTTCTCCACCAAACCAAAGCATAATGATTAACTGATTTGGGTTCCTCGCAAAATGAAAAGTAAAAACTACAAATCTTCCAAGACTGCCAACGGTATAAACGTGTTAATCGCAGTCTCTCCAATGTCTGCTGTGTCCTCTACAAAGTCATGGCTGAGGCTTCCATGAAGCTGAGATATCTGCCACGGCTTTCCCAACTGTGAGATAGAAGGCATTCATTCCAAACGACTCCAAGATTTTGGAGTGATGCAACTTTTCCGTCACACTTCCCACAGGATTTACCAACACAAGCTAGAATGGAAACATCACCATATAAGCAAACAGTTAACCTTTAAGCTTAGAGAGAAAAATGCATTGGCGACTATCATTACCTGAAGTGATCTTTTCTCCAGCATCTTTCTTAGTTCACGTACCATGTCGATGCCGCTTGTATCTATGGCTGTGACAGCTGACGAAATTGCAAGACCGTTCTATTAGCGAAACACACTTGGGAAATTCTTGGGAATCATATTTCACAACCCAGAGTCGTTTTTTTCTTCTAAATGAAAGGATTAATCATGACAGTGTTTTACAAGAATGAGCAAAGAGTTTCTGGACAAACTCACCAGTCATGTCAATGATTATACATTTCAAAGTGCTTTCACGGTTGGCCTTAATCCGTTCTTCCTCCTCTCGAACCCATCTTAATATCCTATAGCAAAGAAATTCCTTCAGTCCACAAGATCCTCTTATAAATCTGCTACACTAATTAAACATTCAGCCTACCCTACACTAGTATACATACCTCTCCTGTAGATAAGTGGAATTTGCAAAGTAGATTGGAGATTCAATGGCCAGTATGAGAAACGAACGGACCCTTGAAGCTTCTCTGTATCGGTTGAGGCTTTGGTATATCTCTGTTCTTGGAATATTCCCCAAGACCACAGTGTTTGGCCTGGTGACATGCAAGAGAATCTTGAATACAGAAACTCCAACCTGCATTTTCAGGCAGAAGCATTCGATTCCAACCAAAAAAAATTGTCAAATTTCATTGCTTCTACTCCATTTTGATGCTTTAATAAAATTAATGCTCAAGAGAAGAGAGATGAAAGCAATCGCTGCAAAGTTAAACGCTTACTGCAATGGCAAGTCCCAAAGGAACAGAAATGAAAAGAACCCCAAAGAAGGAACAAACACAAGCCAGGAAGTCGAGTTTGTCAACTTTCCACAATTTATATGCGGCTTGATAATCAATAAGCCCAATCACTGCTGTTATGATGATGGCTCCTAAGATGACATTAGGGGTGTAGTAAAACAGTGGCATGAGAAACAGCAGAGTCACAAGCACAGTTGTAGCTAATACTATGTTAGAGACTGCTGTTTGTGCTCCAGCATTATAATTTACTGCAGATCGAGAAAATGATCCTGAAAGACACGTTGAAGAGAATAGTTTTAGATGTTCAGCACCACTTTTGTTTATGAAGACAAATAATAAAGAGTAATCACCTGTTGTCACATAACATGAAGTGCAACAACCAGCCATGTTCATGAGACCAATAGCCATCATTTCTTTGTTTCCATCAACTTGGTAGTTCCTTAGAGAAGCAAATGTCCTTCCCACTGCAATTCCTTCCTACAAAACATAAAAACCATTTGGATATTAGAAAGACTAAACAGAAATTAGATTTCAACAGCAAGGATGCATAGTCATTCAAATCCACACACAATTGTAAGGAAGGGTAGGCCTATCCATAAAAAGCTATTTCTGTTATCCAATAATGTTTGGTAAGGATTTTAGATATCAAAGAATACATCAATGACAGTGGTGATTAAAGAAAAGCTTACAGTGAGCGACAAGATCCCAGTGATAATGCCGGTCTTGATAGCTAATGCAAGATATTGGCCATTAAAGTATAGCATGTTCAATGAAGGTGGATTCAAACCCTTTTGCAAATGGCCAATCTGTGGAAGAGAATAGGAAAGACACAGCTTAGATTCGAGAGAATTTTTCAAAAGATTTTCTTTTACATAAAAGTAGAATATAGTATCACTTCTTACAATTGAGATTCCATGAGGTTTTGATTTAATGCAGAAGACTAGAAGAGTTGAGAGAATCACTGATGTTAACGGGGCGGCTGCTGATACCCAGAAAAGCTTTGGTTTCCTCGTGCTCTGCATCAATGTTTTCAAACATCAAAACTTAAAGAACTAAGCTACAATCAGCACAAATCATTTTGTTGGTAACTAGAATAGGGATACTTACAATATGCCTTGTTGTCAACAGAAACAACAGGAAGATGGATCCCAATACAATAGTTTGCCAGGACCACTGCAGATGAATTTAACCAATATTACCATTAGAACGTTTGTATAGAAAAGTATTTATGAACGTGGAATATGTCTCTTTCTACCTGAAGCAATTATAAGCATTTTAATTAAACTAAATAAAAATGAACAGAAGATATACAGAATCTATTAAAGGGCACTTGCCTCCTAGTAATTAATTCAGTGGTTGAGTTTATTGGATTTAAACAAAGCGGTAGATTGTCATTTGTAAAACTTATCCTAAGCAATGATTTGTCAAGTGCCCCTTTCCGACATTAATCACCAGGTACAGTTTCTTTGGCCAAAAAGCGAGAAGAGCACTTTCAAGATGCTGCTAAATACTAGCTTCGTTGACATTCTTCACCCCAATTGCTGACACCTATTTATTTAAAAAAGAAGGGAACAAAAAGGAAAGTGTACATTGCTTTGCCTTGATGAAGGCACTTACCTCTTTTCTATGGTCAAATACAGAGGTCATAACAGGAATGAGCTGCATCTTGCCAGTAAAATGAACAATTCCAAGCAACCCTTTCAGCTGCTGCAAGGACACAATGACTGCTGCTCCAGCCATGAATCCAATAAGAGTTGCCTTGGACAGAAAATCAATCACGAAGCCTAACCTGTAAATTATGAACCAGAAACAATTAACATGCCGATGGATAATGAAGTGGCTTTTGTCTAGAGTCCAATATGTCTAGGAATTCTTCTGATAATCCGAAAAAGGTGAATTAAAGTTAGGAACCCCTATGTTTCAAAAGGTATTAAGACAGAATGAAATGCATATCAGACTTTTTTCCACTGTGAAGGGAATTACATTGTGGCAACAGTTTTCAGTAATCTTAAGGATGCCACCATCAACTAATCCTCAAGAAAAATGAGCGAAAACAAATTTACTCTTCCGCTTAACTATCAAACTTGTATATTTCCACTTAGGACATGAAAGAAGAAAGGATACCTTAGCAGACCCAAAGATGCCTGAAATAAACCAGCAAAGAAGGTCGCAGTGAAGGCCAATTTTAGGTGGAGAATTGGCTCTTCAACAGGGGAAACACTTTCACTTAACATTGTGCCCATGACTAAGGATGCAATGGACACCGGACCAACAGCAAGATGTCTAGAACTTCCAAGGACAGAATAAATCAATGGAGGAACAAAGCTTGAATCTGCATGAATTAATGGAAAATTCATATTAATAAAACTTAATTTTATTTCACTTATCCATTACTGAATTCAATTACGAGATAAAGTAGTTCTGGTTCTGATACTAACATAGTCCAACAATAGGTGGCAAATTTGCAAGCTTTGCATAACTGATTCCCTGCAGTCGACCAAAACAAAATAGATTATTATCAAAGATTAAGGAGTTTTTTCAAATGAAGAATTTTGTAAAAAAATTATGATAATAATTTAAATATTTATTTGATCCACAATATGATTTGTTTAAATCAATGACCCAGTAAATGCCATGTTTGATATCCAAAAATCTTTAGCACGTGATATTAACCACAGCAGGACATTGAATTAAATTCACATGAGGATTGACTATTGAGAACACAAATCATCTTTAGACAAGTTCAGACCAACATAATTCTTTTTTTATTTAGAATATGATAACAATAAAAACAAATTCATTTTATTATTAAAAACTATATACAAAAACAAAAATCCAGTTCACATAAGCCACACTTATTCAGTGATAAACTTTTTTAAAGCTTAGCCACCCTAATGATCCAAAAGTAATGGAATAAATTCAGAAACATGTCCACTGATCCTAATTAGATGACAAAAACCCATGAACAGCCATGGGAGAGTGAGAAAGAGAGAGATGCTATTGTGCTGTTGTGTTCATGATAATTACCTGTGGGATTGCAAGGCTAGCAATGGTGAGACCAGAAATGATATCAGACCTAAACAGGCTGAGATTATACTCAGGCCCCCACTGGAATATTGGGAACAAAAACTGAAGTCCCAAAACCAGTTTCTTACACCATGTTTGCTTCTTGAATCTGTAGAGAGGATCATCAGGGAAGAAAATCTCTGAAAGCCTGTGTTTTAGCTTCTGGAAAGTGGTTTTCTGCGGTGGCAGGCAAACGTTGTGTATCTCCATTGCCTCAGGTGGCGGCATTGGTATCTCTGTTGAAACCTTGAGAGTTGTTGTTGTTGTTGTAGTACTTCCATTATGCCTTGAGAAATCTTCGACCCTGTTAGAGTTTGCACCCATTTCTTTTTTTCTTTAGTTTTAGCAGAGTAGAAGGAAAACCAAGCTCTTATTTTCTTTTGGTGAAGAACAAAGTTTTGCGTGGCTTTGGATTTATAGAGGAGAGAAACGGGCAGGGTATCTGTCAGATGGTAGTTATTGGGCAGTTGTTTGTATTTGGTTGAATGGGGCAGGTTAGTCTTCATCTTTTTTGGGGTTTAATTAAAACTCAGTGCCATGAGAATTTATGTCTCTAAACAGTATGGACTTGATGGGCCCCAAACAACACGTTTCCATTTGTTTCTGTGTAATTACACTACTTTTAGACTCTATTTATATGACTCTGGATTCTTTTTTTTCTTCTCCTTTCTAATTAATGCTTTTGAGTTTATGTATTCATTTTTTTTTTGAACGGTTTTTGGGTTTTATCTTCCCGGATTAAAGATAGCCTTGCTGCCATTTGTTTTCATGGAAGAATTTTTGGCCAAAATATTTAACCATGTGATTGGTAGACATATCAAAAGATTTTTAGTATTGTATGAAGTTGTAATGGGGTTCTTTGTGAAAGGGAGAGAAAACATTGTAAACAAGTAAAAATGATGCATTGAAGGCCATAGAGGAGAATATTGGAGTAGTTATTGAAGCACTATAATGTGCTTGGTTGGGAATAGAATAGTCATTCTCCTATTTCTAATCCTTTCTAATAATTTGTTTGCTTATCAGGAATTGCCATTCCTCATAAATGACTATCATTACTAAGAAACCTTAATAATAGTTATTTCAAAGATGGAGAATAGGTCAAAAATTTTATTAAATAAAGTTACTCTTAAATAAATTTAAAAAATTATTATCATAACATAACTTTTCTTTCTCTCTCTACCCATCTTTTACCTCTTTCCTTCTCTCTAAAGTTCTTCGATAGAGGGCGGCAATGGCACCATACCGATTGTGGGAAATGTCGATTGGCATTTCTTCACCATATTCAATTGCAAAAAATATTGATCTAGCAGTCTCTGGCTGGATTCAATCGTGGGAAGCGTCGATTTGGCACTCTAGCAACCAAATTTGGCTACAAGGAGCATTAGATCAATGCTCAATTATGCCGACCACATCTTTGGCGGCCGATCAATGAGAAGGAAAAAAAACAAAAAAAAAAACTACAATGGAAAAATATATAAAAAAAGAAAAGCTAAAAAATAATACCTTATTTTTTAAAATTAAATTAAAATTTTAATTATAAATTATTAATATTTTAAAAATAAAAATAAAATAATTATATATTATAATAAAAGATATTTTTATCATTTATTCATTGGTTATTCCTAAAACTATTCTTGTTAACCAAGCATGAGAATAAGTGATAATAGCAATTATTGTCTTATCCCATTTCTATATATTAAGCTATATAATAACTATTTCTTCTTTATTTTATTCTCTTGAAATAGTTATTTTATTTCCACCCTATTTCATCTTGTGAACCAAACATACTTTTGAGTGTTGTGGTAAGTGAAAGAGTATAGATAAAGAATAGAGTATTTATTGAGGATAAATAAAGAATAGGTGAGTTGTAGAACAATTGGGTTGCCAAAATAGTAGGGTAAGATTGAGAATAGGTAAAGAATAGGCAAGTAGTAGAATAACTGTATTATCAAAGTGGTAGAGTAAGACAGAATAGATGAGTGATAGAGTAAAGCTGAAAAGCATTAAGTAGAAGTGTTAAAGAGAGAAGTTAAAGAAAGAAGCTTTAGGTGAAAATGTTATAGCTCTGGAAAAGTGAAGCTCCCTAAATGAATTGTGAAGTGATAGTTATTCAAAAATAGATTTTAATGTGCGTAATGAATGATATTATTATGAAGAGTAATTGTTATTGTAATCAATTATAAGGATATTAAAATGATGATTTTATTACATATAATGAGTAATGGTTAAAAACTCATTATACGATTGTTGAAGTGATTGCGTGCAATAAGATTTGTACTTAAATAGAAGGTAATAGAAAAGAAATACACGTGAAAAAGCTATACAAGATAAGTTAAGAGAGAAAAAGGTGTACATGAACAAATACAAAAGAAAAAGGTGTGTGTAAATAAATACAAGAGAACAAAGTAAGAAGAGAAAATAATTATACTTTAGAAAAAGATTAAGAGAAAGACTTATTAACTATCTCCATATTTAAGCTACTAAATCAAATTCTTCGAAACATTTTAAGATGAAAGTAATTCGTGAACTTTGCCAGTTATTCCAAGTTACTTCACTACTATCCATGTAATATAGTTATTCTACTTGTATTAATTATTTTGTATAGAGTAGCGTTCCATTTATTTTAATTCTTTTGCGTGAGGAAGTACTTCACTAATTTTAATTATTTTATGTGAAGTAGTGTTTTACTTATTCTAGTTCTTTTCATTATTTTTCACATAACATTATGCTGTAAAACAATTTTAAAGAGAATTAGGTAGTGACCAAAATCAACTATTTACTGAAATTATTTTAGATTTAGTTTGTCTAATAAGTATAAACAAAAATAATTCTATGTAAATTCAGCATACTTTTATACATGAAATCCTAACATAATTGGATTAGCATGCATAATCAATATTATCTTCCTTTTTTTTAATTAACATGTACCTTAAATTTTTTCTCCCTCTGAAACACTTTGCAATTCAGAACGAAATGAAGGGTTTATGGAAAATTTTGTCTCAGCTGCAAGTACATTTTCCTTGGCTTAGTTGGCAACAGATTTTATATGAGCTTGACATTATTCAATCGAAGATATACATATTTTTATAATAAAATAAAATACTCATTTATTCACTTAAATTTTTAAATAAAATTTATTTTAATCAGTCAAATTATGTTTTGACCAATAATATTTATAAAAGCTAATGTTTTGATTACTGAACTGTAAAAACTATGGATTATTGGACGTGATTTTCAAATTAGTTAATTTTGACCTCATGGTATGTTCATATTTTCAAATTATTTACTTATTTTTATGAAAGTAAGTTATTTATTAAACATCATTAACTTAATATAAATCTCATATTAACTTTTACTGTCTTGAATCAATAGTTTTAAGCACATTACTAACTTTTTAATTGGGAAATTACGAGAAACAAACATTAGGAAATAGACATGGTGTTCTATACTTTTGTAGTGTTGCGGCTAATGCCTTGCTAAAAAGAGATGTGAAGAAGAACATGTAACATTCCAACCCAACTGCCTTACAAAAAGGAGTATATATTTGTTTGAAATCTTTGTAATGATATTTCTTTTGACATTAATTAATTCCCAATGGTTAGGTTACTCTAAAAAAGAATTGCCATCAGTTATAAATCCTTCTTCTTTCCCTTTCTTTGTTTCTCATTTTTCACACAGAAACAAAGAGATTACCAAATCAAAGTAAGAGTATCTATATAGGGGTGTGCATGGGTCGGTTTCGGTCGGTTTTTCTTCAAAACCAATCAAAAATTTTTGGGATATAACCGACCAAACCACAATGATATAAAGTCGGTTTCGGTCAGTTTTTTAGAAGGTCGGTTTCGATCAGTTTCAGTTGGTTATATCTCAAAAATTTGGACTCGAGTGGGGGGGTGGAATCAGGTCAGGAGTCGGGACTCGTGGGAAGAGGGGCCGAGGGGAATCAGGTTCGGAGTCGGGACTCGTGGAGGGGGGGCCGAGGGGCCGAGGGAATCAAGTGGGGAGTCGGGACACATGGGAGGGGGGGCCGGGGGAATTAGGTTGGGAGTCGGGACTCATGGGAGGGGATTTCGTTAAGTTGGAGGGTGGCGAAGGGAATTAGGTCAGGACCGAGTGGGAAGGGGGGGGGGTGGGGGGAAGTAGTGAAGTGCTGTCGGGGCAGTCGGGTGGGGGCTCATGGGTGACCTTGCCCAAAGAAAAAGGTTCGGTTTTTTCGATCGATTCGAGAGAAAAGGATTTCTCTCGACGATCGAGTCGATCAACCGACGAGACCGATCGACACAACCGACAATTGCAAAAACAATTATCGATTGTAACCGTCGGTTATTATAACCGACGGTTGCGATCGATTAGACGGTTCCAACCTACCGTTGCTCAGTCCTATATCTATATATATTGGTAGAAAGAGTAGTATATATTGAAGTCGTCAGAAATTTTGTAAAGTTGGAAAGGGCAATCTACCGCCCAAAAGCGGCTGCTTAAAGTGAAAGCTGTCCTTTCAGGAGGGTCCTGGGGAAGCTATATATATACATCTATAGAAGCTGTGGCTCCCCGAAATAAAGTTTATAAGTGGCTAGAGTTAGGTCAATATTATCACTTTTATGACTTTTGGCTTGTTGGTTCAAGTCTTGTAGCATGGCCCTTGGCCCTATCAGAATTAATTAAATAAGATTAATGCGACAATTTTCAGGTTGATAATCGCTTCTTGCAGAGGAATAGTGGAATATCTCAAAGTACCAATTTTAGGTTCCCTTCAAACAAGATTGCGCACTCAATCCAGACCGTCTAATCGATGCTAGCTTTTGCTCCAAATAAGAAAAAGATTCTAGCCCAACACTTTTTCTGGCTTTTTCCTTCTCTGCTTTTCGCCTGTATTTTTATTCTCTACTCCACAAAGCCATTGCTTGTGTATGGTGTTTCAAGGCAGACAATTACATCCCTTTTAATCTCTTCTATTTCCTTTCATGCAATAGCAACTTTTTGAGCATCAAGGCCGGGCTTCACTCTTGATATGGGTTGACGCTATTTTTACATAAACTAACACCAAAACAAAATGAAATATTAACCTTAATATAATACACTGCTAGAATTCTTATTCAATGTGTAGTCATCATGATGTCTGGCTGTAGCTTTTTTCCTACCAGTGAATCTAAATTGCACGCTGGTCTTACACAAATATCTGTGGAGTTGTTAATCTTAATAAGCAAATTACTAACCAGCCAATATTGAATTGCCAAAAGCAACCACGAGGAGTGATCTTTTGAAAATCATGTCACAATAACAATAGCAAAAGAAGAAGTCTCCAAGCACCTAACTCTTAACAATTGGATATCGTGAAGCAGTCCTGAATTACCCTGCCGCGGTATGCATTTGACTATAAGTGCTTTGCTTTTGCTAGAGAAGGAAACATCAGAGAAAGGCAGCACATTTTATATAAAAAACAAAACAAACGAAGATTGCTAACGAAACCAGTCTGCTTGTCTCACTTTTGG